TGGAACATTCTTTATAGCAATATCTTTTAGCAAATATTATCACATGTAGACGAACAAATGGTTCCCATCGAGTACGATGGATGCGAGGGGTGCTAATACCTTCCCTTCACATAACCGGCTTCCGAACTTGTTCTTGGTTGCGAGACCATCTTATTCGTTCCTTTCTTAGGGTTTTCTCGATGTTTTCCCTTCCCCTCATGGGATAAATAAAGTTCGATGGCGACTCTTCTGTCTTTCATTCTCGCCTTTTCGTCATGTATTTTTCGAGTAGTGACACACATCTCTTCTGCTCACAAAAACCAAGAGGAAGCTCCTGTTGTACATGAAGGTTTCCTTACACCTCTAGACACTTATCCAGGAGGTCCCTCTAAAACCTCCTTATTAATATACTATGGAGATCATGTTGTTGGCCATGTCTGGACCAGAGTGGTATATTTGTTAACGATTGTTACTTATGTATTTTAAACAAATTCCCACTGATATATATATATATATATATATATATATATATATATATATATATATATATATATATATATATATATATATATATATATATATATATATATATATATATATATATATATATATATATATATATATATATATATATATATATATATATATAGTTAGTTAGTTAGTTAGTTAGTTAGTTAGTTAGTTAACCACAACATAAAGATTTTGCAGCTTTATCAACCCGCAGATGATTGGTTCCAAAGTGTCATTCAATACGCCGGTTTTTTTGATATGTGTTGCTCTGGGTACAAGATCATTATCCATTGCATGCATGGAGCTTTTTCTGAGAGATGACATAAAGAAATGTCATAATTACACTTCCACATTGGCGAGATGATGATTACACTAGATGATGTCCCTTGTCTTCTATACCTTCCCATCAGGGGGAGTTACTTGACCATTCCATGATCAAACATGATGAAGCCCAGAAGATGTTGATCATTTATTTGGAAGCTAACCTAATGGATACCCTGATGTAGTATTAGAGCACCACAGGTGCTCATGCCAAATTTTCATACTTGAAAAAGCTTTACGAAGAAAGCTTTGAGTTGGCCAATGATGCCGACAACGATGATCTACGAGTTACCTACAATCGAAAGTGGTCTTTGAGGTATTTCCTCTTATTCTTGGTTGGCATGTCCATGTTTGTGGACAAAGTGAGACCTATATCTATTTGGCATCCTTAAGTACTTCATCAATTTATCGGCCATTCACAAGTGGAACTGGGGGGCCGTTTGTTTATTATACATGTACTCCAAGTTGAGTGAAAGTTTTCTTTGGACAAAAAGGCAAATGATAGGCTCCTGCACCTTGCTGAAGGTGATTTCCACAACCACTATTAATTTTAAAAGCACATTTTTACACTTGTTACTAATAATTTTTTCTCATTCATTTTCAGGGATGAATCATATCCCACTTTCACCGCATACATGGATTTGATCGTGTGGGTATAGTGAGGGTTAGCCACGTGCTTGCATGTATTGTACTTGTAAAGGGAATGATGTTGTGTGGCCGTTATGTGTGTCTATACACCAGACTCAACATGATGACATTGATTGGACACCATACACCACTCACTAGGACATTGTTGCCTTAGAATCCATTTCATTTTACTTAGATGGATGGCATGTGGGAGGAATATGATGTGAAGGTATTTGCCGAAGCGATGCATGCATCAGTTTGGATATATGAATTTCATTCTGAGATCCCCCTTTAGGTATGCTCCTTACAACATCGTCTACAGATATCATGATCACATAATGGCGGGTTACGAGAGTCATATAATATTATAAGAGTATCGAAGTATGTCAGCCATAATTTAATGGTCTTATATGGATGGTTACATGACTTGGTTCTATAGTGTGTCACAACCTATCATGACATTAAACCCTACTGGATGTCCATCTAGGCTTGCTCATGAGGAGAACCTAGAGAATGAGCAAGACAAGAAAGAACATGCTTTTGATGTGTTGTCGATCTGTCAAAATATTGTATGGATTATGTATGAGGGCGTAGAGTTTTGACTATTTAAGAGACATGACGATGATGTGGTTTCCCTCGCACATGTCATTCTTAGCGAGTTCCAGAATGCCTTGGGTTACCGGTAGCATAGGAAGATTCAAAGGGTTAGGATTAGGTATACGTAGTAGGTCATGTTTTTTTTTTTTGTATTTTGGGGTGTTTTATTTTTATTTTCCATACTTTGAGAACAATCTTTGTAATATTATGAGATATTTTTTTAATTAATGCATTACCTTGTTCTATGATGTTCATATTTATTAATGTTTGAATCAAATTATGACACTGTTAGTCAAATTGAAATGACTTTTGATTCAAAAAAAATACAAACTTAAGACAATGTTTCTACCCAAGATGCATGTAGGTAAGATTTCAAAGATGCATATCTGAAATAATATTGTTTAAATAGCTTAAAATGCATTTCATGGTGTTTTCGGAGATGCATCACCAAATATACCCCAAAAAATTTCACTGATGCATCTTTGGATCAATTTTTGGCAAAATTGAAATGGTCGTTTGATTTACGAAGTATAAGATAATTAAAGATGCATCTAGAGATGTATCTCTGAAACACCTTAAAACAATTTTAAATTTTCATAGATGTGAGTCACAGTAGAAAAAAATTGCCCTTAAATATTGAACTTTCAGTCTAGGAGTGAAATCTAATGACTTTATACGCTTCAATTTTGTTCAGTCCAAAATGCAAAAATGCATGGTACATGAGCAAAAACATACGGTGCAAGAGCATATATGTATTTCTATCTTTCATATGACGTACTTATGTTGGCTTAAAACCATGTTATTCTATTTTAATATATTATAAATAAATTATATTAAATATCTGATCATTTAAATAAGTAAAAGTGTAAAACATGTAATGCACGTACAAGCATACGCATAAAATGATTTAACTATTTTTACTAAAAAAAATTGAAATATTGTATAACTAATGGTTTTACAGAATGGAGTCTAACCAATTAATTTATATATAAAAAGAAAAGAAATCATTTTAACTATACAAAATATTCATTAATACAAAACTTTGTGTCATGGATCAATCTCTTACAAATTTTCAGTACCACTTTTCACTTCATGACATTTTTTAACAACACGTTTTCTCTCAACCAAATATTGTTTCACAATAAGCACAGAAGACTGGGTACCAAAACTATTTGAAGCCAATATGTCACCTATAACACCAAGTTCAGGACGGTCACACCATTCCAACAACCTCGAAAAGATCACCAAATTCTTACCACTTCCTTGTTCAACAATGTACAAATCATATCCAGGTTTGTCAATATCGTTAAGAAGCGTTGGAATCTCTTCACCGGTATTTGAATGGACTTCCTCCTTTGAGTAAACAATTGAATCGTTATTGTTCACTGCCTTGTGCCTGGAGGAAATTATACACTCTTCATCCAACTCTTTTTGCATCATATTGTCTATAATAGTTGCCAAAAATTCATTATGAGACTTGCTTTTTTCCATTTTTTGTTTCGCTTCTTTTGCAGCCTTACCTAAAAAATTGATCCACACAACATGTAATTGGGTTCCTGGATGTCGCGCCATTCTCCATGCAATAGACAAGGCTTCACGATCGCCAGGTCTACCGATGAAAATATTTATAATGCGCAATTTTGTTTGTAACAACGATCCTAAACCGCGGTCCACCAAGATCCCTACTGAACAAGGTGCTTGTTGTAGCACATTTTTGTTTATCTCACAATGTTCATTATGGATTATTTCAGGAGCATCTTCTATTGTTGAGAACTCTTTGTGAAAAGGAAGGGAATTAAGCTCGCGCGTTTCTCTTCGGTAAATGTCCTCGTGGATAGTTATGTAGGACGAGACAACACTTAACATGTCAAACCTAACCCCATTGTATTGCTCTACGAATTTTTCAAATGCATTAGTTATGCTCTCAAACTCTAGTTGTGATCTAAGTTGGTTGCTTCTGTGCCACCAACTGTGTTGTTTGAATGATCCATTTGGGAAACAAGAATAGTTGTGCCATGTCTAGTGGGTTGAACTAGGTGAGTTACAGAGACATGTATAGGTGAAAGTCTAGTAGCATTTGTGGCTTCAATTGCATGGATCATGTTATTGGCATGTTTAACATTATGGACATAAGCGAAGATTCGAAGCTCCATATTAAACCTCAGTTTTTGCATGGTCCTTAATTGTGATTGCTTGAATCAGAATTTTGGTTTGTACATTGCATTGATCAAGGGAGAAACCATCACAGTCATTACTATAACAGCAAGCATCATGACCATGAAAGTATATGGATCCAAAATTTGCAAAGAAAGACGAAAAAACAGTAACTTATTTAAAAGGTCGTTTCATTTAAATCATGCAAAATAAAAAGTTTAAAATTACCCTTTTGTCCCAAGCAACATTCAGTAGTATGACAACCATGATACCCTTGGTGTTGAGAAGCAATCCAATGGCAACCCCGTCTCGGGCAGGCATACCGAAAAAGAAAGTGACAATCAGAGAGCTCAAAAATTTAGGTATGGATAACAAAAGCATAATCAACAACATTAAACCTGTATTTTTATGCTTCAAAAGTAAAGGTAAGTTGAGTCTAAAACCAAATCCAGCAAAGTAAATAAGACAAAGAATCCCAGAAACAAAATCAGCTGACATTTCCAAAACCATATCAGCAAACTTTCATGAGGAAAAATTAATCCAAACATAAAAGCTCCAACGATAGGATGTGTACCAAGACAATCCGTAATGTACGAACAAATAAACACTCCCATATACATCTGTTAACATAGTTGATGTCAATGCATCTTTTCCAAGCTTTGTTTATAAAAGTTTAAGACTAGCTAAGATTCTTGTAAGGACATGGAAAGTGTTACAGAAAGTGTTAAACACCAGAATAATATGTTTCGCTGTGATTTTCTTTTAGTGTTTGTACGAAAACATCTTTTTATCTATAAGTTTTTGTTGTAGAGCTAGAAATCCAACACCAATAACATCGGTGTCACAATTCCAGCAATTTCTATGCTCGTACCTTTCTTTCTTGATCTTAAGATGGTGTATGCATTCATTTCTAATCCACTTAGGAACACATAATACATTATTCCTAAGTTTCCAAAGGTTTCAACAGCTAGGATTTCATATTGACCATAAAACAAGGAAAATACCCATTTGAAATTTCCCAAGAGAGTTGGACTCAGAGTAAAACCAGCCTGCATTATATAAAGTTCAGAAATTATTATATTTTTTTATCTCTCATTTATGCAATGCAATCTTAATGTATGAACTTATATGTTTTTACGTTGAAAATTCAATGTGACCAAATATCATGTGTATCAATGATTCAAATTTACTGGCAAAAGAAAGAAAGAAATATATGACGAATGAATACTTACCAACACCTGTGCAATAATGAGGGGCACGCGAAGGGGCTTGAGGACGAAGTAGAAAAGCCGAGAAACAAAAATATCATAACCAATTTGGAGACACAAAAGAGGAACATGTTTTATCATAGCATCATCAGTCATCCAGATATTGTTTGAAGCACTAAATGATACATTATAACATGCATAATTTGCCATCTCCATCTTTTCTTTCATTGTTATTTCTTCTCTATGAGGTCTCTTAATTAATTTAGTATGTTAATGTATTTTTTTCTTCTCATTTAAATAATATGTTTCTGTTACCTGAATAACATGATAAGTTATTATGAATATTGATGTATTAGAGCTAGCAAATGCAGTTTACATTATTTGTTGTTAGTATCTTCCAGAATGCTGAATTTTTCATGATCTATGATGAGATATATGGTTGCTATTTTGACGATAGTTATTTTATAATAAACATTATGTATATCCGCTACGACCATACACTATATTTAGATTTTAGACATATGACTTAACTGCTATTAGTTACTGAAAACAAAATCAAATTGATGAAAATTGTCATACCTCAAATTTTACCCTTAGATTCTTCGATCTTTTGCATATTATTCTAGACCAATCATTATTGCATAACTAACCATTTTATCAGCTTTTGTTTGTTTTTGTTTCATTTATAAATCAGGGTTTGCTCCAAGAGATTTCAAGGATATGTGAATTAGGGTTTTGGATATGCCATCTACCATTTAAGCTTTTGAAGCATGGAATCAGAGTTCTTATCAGAGGTTTATCAAAGCACTACACCAGCTTCTTTGAGTTTCCTCAAGGGTGCCATATGTCTTGGGTTCCATCAGTGGCTTTGTAACAACCCAATTTTTTAATAATTAATTAATTATATTAATTAATTTATTTATTTGGATGATTTCAATTATTGGAATTATTGGTAGATAATTGAGAGAAGAAGATAATGGAAGGAAATAAAAGAGAAATATATATAAGAGGAAAGTGGAAAGAAAAGGAGAAGATAGAAACATAAGAGAAAAAGAAGAGAAAGAAAGAGGAAGAGGAGAAAAGAGAAGGAAAAGCTTGGAAAGCTCAAAATTAACTCTTTGGGATCGATTTAATCGAGGTAAGGGTGTGAAATGTTGTTATTCTATCAATGTTTATGATTATGTATGGATTGCATGGGTTGTTTAGGTGTTTTCTCCATTTTCCATTCTAGGGCATAAATTGGGTTTAATCGGTAGAATCGAAGTTTTAACGGTTAAATCGAGAATAAAGTGTGTAGTTTAGTCGAGGGATGTTAGACTAAGACTATAGGAACTGGTTTGGTGAAAATCGGTTGATTTTGTGAAGAGTTAGGGATAGATGACAGTGAGGTTTTTGAGTTTGCAGACACTCGCTAGCATGTTCGCTAGGGGAGCTGGTCGCGAGCGTTCGCTGTAGCGAGTAGGTAGAGAGAGGTCCCAGACTTGGACACAATGGAATTGGTCTTCTTCGCTGGGAGCGAGCAAGGTAGCGAGTATTCGCTAGACCTTCACTAAGCGAGCGAGGTAGCGAATGAAGTCAGTAACTTCTGTTTGCCTTCGCGAGCTTGTTCGCTAGGCGAACAAGTAGTGAGCACTCGCTAGGGACTCGCTAGGCGAGCATGCTAGCGAGTGTGACAACATTTGGTTTTCTTGAGATTCCATCCTATGTTGATTTCTTGGTTCGATTATGTTCGATCCTTGTTGGAAATAAGTAATTGTGTGTTGTGAAACATATGTTGTGGGTAGCCGTAAGGCGTGAATCCTAGATTGTGGAATTAATTATGAAATGTGGCCTTTTGGCGTATATAATGCATTGTTTTAAATTGATTAAAAATGCATGATGAATTGCGATGAGGTTTGTTGCCGTTTGGCACGATGTTGTGAATATATATATATATATATATATATATATATATATATATATATATATATATATATATATATATATATATATATATATATATATATATATATATATATATATATATATATATATATATATATATATATATATATATATATATATATATATATATATATATATATATATATATATATATATATATATATATATATATATATATATATATATATATATATATATATATATATATATATATATATATATCGATTATATGTTATAGTATGTGAAGAATGCATGGGAACATATTGTGAATATGTGTGCATTGCTCGATGAATATGATGTTATTGGATGTGAATATGTTGTGTGTGCAATCATGTTATAATTCTTGAGTGATGAATTATTGAGAATGCATGAGATTAAGATGCGAGAACGGTCTTAAGTGCATTTGGTGGTTAATTGCATATGCATCATTTAGTCAAGAGGCAATGTTTGCTAGTTTCGTGGAGACTAGTGACTTGTCCCAAGCCTAGAAGAGTGGGTTTGAAAGCTTAGAGGACGGGCTTTTGTTGTTATCGGTCTAGAAGAGTGGACCCGGTTTAAGTGTAAAAATCGAAAAATGATAACAAGTGTTGGTACCACATGGCATGAGTTGCATTGAGTTGTGTTTGGTCACATAGCATAGATATCATTGTTATATGAAATATGCTTGTGTGTGGATTGTTGAGTTTAGAACTATGGATATGTGCATGATGAAACATGTTTTGTAATTATCCATGTGTGTTTATACATGTTGTGAAATGTATAATGAGTTATGAATGGAATGTGGTGGGAAATGTGGAATATGTATATTCTATGCTTGTATATATATATATATATATATATATATATATATATATATATATATATATATATATATATATATATATATATATATATATATATATATATATATATATATATATATATATATATATATATATATATATATATATATATATATATATATATATATATATATATATATATATATATATATATATATATATATATATATATATATATATATATATATATATATATATATATATATATATATATATATATATATATATATATATATATATATATATATATATATATATATATATATATGCATTGATTATTATGATAATATTTCTCACCCTTCTGCTGTTTTATAATGCTCTATGAGGCATTGCAGATTAGGCTTGCTGGAGGTCTTTTGTGAAGTTTAGCTTCATTCTTTTGGTCGGTTATGCTCTGATATGTAGCACCGGGTAGTTAGGATTGTATAACATTCTTTTGAGATACATTTGTATATGTATCTGATGACAAATGTTTATGTAAACATGATTGATGTGGTGAATCAAAATGAATGATATGTATTTATATGATTTACATGTTTAAAATGATTAAATGTTTAGATTTTCCGCTTTTAATTCTAAATATTCAAATGTGGGTGTAGGGACTAAGTTCCTCTGTTAAGACTATCCCACTGTTGCATGTCTTTTATTGAGCAGGTATTGTATGTTAATTTCGTGATGATGTGACATACTTCTTTTATACCATGTTTTATTTATACTCTGATGAAATTTTATTACGTGTTAAATGATTTATTTTTTTATTTGGGGGTATAGAAAGGGGGTGTTACATTAGTGGTATCAGAGCAGGTCGGTCTGTTGACCAAGTTGTTAACGTGTTCATTCCCTTATGCATTTGGTATATGTGTGTAGCACTATCCATATGGTTGTTCTAACGAGGATTTGTTGTGGGAATCAAGAACAATGGTTGCAGGCAAGAATGATGAAGCGATTGTTGAGGCGTTGACGAGGTTGGCTAGAGCGATTGGGTAGAATCCTCAAGCCAATGTGAATGTTGGGAATAACTCTGATGATGAGTTTTGTGCTTTGGGAAGGTTCCAAAGGAACAATCTGCCGATTTTCAAGGGAACCCATGAACCTGACAAAGCACAAGTATGGCTGAAAGCGATTGAGAAGATCTTTCGAGTCATGAATTGTTCGGATGCACAGAGGGTGCAGTTTGGCACTCATATGCTTGAAGAGGAAGCTGAGGATTTATGGGGTAATACTCGCCAAAGGTTTGAAGAGGATGAGATTGTGGTTACTTGGGATATTTTTAGAGAGGCATTTTTGGAGAAGTATTTTCCAGAAGATGTGCGTGGTAAGAAGGAAATTGAGTTCCTTGAGCTGAAGCAGGGTAACTCAGCTGTAGTCAAGTCTGCGGCAAGGTTTGGGGAATTGATTAAGTTTTGTCCTCATTATAACATTGTCAATGCTGAGAGATCCAAGTGTCTTAAGTTTGTGAATGGTTTGAGGCCTGGAATCAAGCAAGTCGTTGGTTATCAGGAGATTAGGTGATTCTCTGAGTTGGTGAACAAGAGCAGAATCTATGATGAAGATAGTAGAGCTCGGTCTAGTCACTATAAGAGTTTAAGTGACAAGAAAGGAAAAGGTCAATTTAGAGGGAAGCCGTATGTGACTCTTGTGGATAAGGGGAAATAGAAAGCTGGTTACGGCAAGAAGCCGAGTGGGGGAGGAGCTTCCACCCTGGTAAGATGTTATAATTGCGGTGAAGTGGGACATCATGCTCCTGAGTGCAAGAGTGTTGGGATGAAGTGTTTCAAATGTGGGAAGCCAGGCCACAAAGCTCTTGAGTGCAGAAGTGGTGCAAATGTGACTTACTACAACTGTGGTGAGCAAGGGCACATTAGTACCAAGTGTGACAAGCCAAAGAAGACTCAAGGGAGTGGGAAGGTGTTTGATCTATCAGGATCGGAGACTGCTAGTGATGATCGATTGATCTGAGGTACGTGCTTCATTAATGGTATACCTTTGATCACTATAATTGATATTGGAGCTACGCATTCTTTTATTTCTTTGGATTGTGTTAAGAGATTAAATCTTGAGTTGTTTGTTATGAGTGGTGGTATGGTTATTGATACTCCTGCTATGGGTTCGGTAACTATCCCATATGTGTGTTTGAATTGTTCGTTGAGTATTTTTGGTAAAGACTTTGGAGTTGATTTAGTGTGTCTTCACTTAGATCAACTTGATGTTATTCTTGGGATGAATTGGTTGGAATTCAATCGTGTTTATATTAACTGTTTTGACAAAACGGTTATTTTTCCTGAATCCAATGAGGAAGGAGATTTGTTTATGACTTCTAAGCAAGTAAAGGAATCAGTGCAAGATGGTGCGAAGGTATTTATGTTGGTGGAAACTTTGAGTATTGGTGAAAGTGGAGCAATTGATGCTTTACCAATTGTCCGTGATTTT